ATCTAATTTGAAAGAAATAAAATAATTCCAGTTTAGAGAGTTTAAAACTGAACAGTTCCAATGTCCATCAACTGGTAAATGGATAAACACAGTGTGTTTATCTACTCAAAAAAAAAAAAAAAAAAGAATTGCTGATATAAGAAGATATATATATCTACTTTCAAGTAATTAGAATGTAACCAGCTCATTTCCTCATCATTATAAATAGAGGAGTGTCTTAAAAATCTTATTCTTGGAATATTAGCTTGCAAAAATCAAAGGGCTTTGAGCTCCTAAAATACTTCACTCTCTTTTTTGCTGGCTCTCAGTGCTTTTTTTTGGCGAATTATAAGTTTAAGTTTGAGTCTAAGTCTTAACTTTCAGGGCGTCAGAGGACACTGAATGTTCCCAACACAAAGAAATGATAAATGTTTAAGATGACGGATATGCTAATTACCCTGATCCAATCACTATACATTATATATATCAAAACCCCATAAATATGTACAATCATTATGTCAATTAAAAGTATAAAATAAAATAAATTAAAAGGAACGTCACTATTAAATCAAATCCCTAAATTTACTGTGGCAAAAAAGACTCCTTCTAAGAATCCAACAAAAACTAGGAATCCCCAAAAAGACATTCTGATCCAAAAATATGCATATAATTTCAGGGAGTGCTCGAATCCCTTGAAATGGATCCATCTATAGATTCCTTAGGTTAGATCCCAGTTTGTGAGCCAAGCTGAGATTTTTGTGGTCTAAATATGTGAAGCACTGTTAAACTTGTCATTTCATCTTTTTTAATTACTATACCCAAGCTATAAAGGGTGACTGCCTTCTATCTCTGTGAGCTGAAGATTTTCGTTATAGTCGTTTAAATTCTGAAACTGGAGCCATGTGAAATTTGGCACCTTTTGTTAATATAAAGTAACTAAGACGCTAGCGATGACACAGGTAATTACTCACGAGTATCATTGGATGGACTGTGTTGAATATCTTGCCCTTTTGCAGGAAGAAAAAGAAGCCCAAGCCAAGGCTGATAAAATTAAGCTGGCGCTGGAAAAACTTAAGGAGGCCAAGGTTAAGAAGGTAAACTATGAATCACTGTCACATGGAGGGGAGTTAAATTAATGACAGCTGCTTATACTTAATGATAAAAATAAAATAAAAATGTTGAGTGGTATTTTCTAAACAGTGGTAATTTTTTTTAATTTTCAGGACAAAGCTAATATATAATATACTATATTATAAAATTTTATAGGTCGACAGGCATGACGTGAGCGATTACATTAGACATTTATGAATATACTTCTTTAGATCTACATGTATTTCCTCTGAAAACATTTTGAATTAATTCAACTTAATTTTATAAAGAAGTCATATGTAAAAATGGCTTACAATAAAATAAACCTTTTTGACACATTTAGAAGGTCCGAACTTTAGTCCAGGTGGTGTACACTAGACCCATCAGCATTAATGCTGTGTGCTGCACGGCGTTCAGGTGACGGCAGTTGGCAGTGAATTATTCCACAGAGCTTTCTGCGCATTCATTACTGAGTAGGCTTCCTTTCCACTGCTCCGTTTCCTCGTCCCAGCTCGTCAGACACGTAGCAGCTGGGTCACTCCCATCCTGCCCATGCTGTGTTCATGACATCTACCATGTAAGGTTTCACCAAAGTGCCCCACTAACACCACACGCCAGCACCTCTCCCTCTGCGCCACACAATCTAACCCACTTTCAGGATCGCACATCTGAGCTACAGCATTTTTTTTTTACTTCTTGACACATTCCTGCTGTTTATCATGAATTGCTTTTTCTCTGAATGTGAGATTTTCTATAGTTGAGTGGGTGATCCTACGAAGAAGCTCTATCTTCACCCCAAAGTCTCAAGTTTATTAAACCCCAGTTGGTTGAAACTCAATTTCTTCCAAATAATTAATCAGCAGTACTCTCTGTCTGCCCTCCAAATGCTTGGGGAGGACTCCCCTTCCATCCATTTACAATATACTCTTCCTACTTTTCTAAAACTCTAAGATCTTGCACTAGAATACATAAGAATTCCCTACTTAGACATCTATTCCGGTGCTTGGATTTGACTTTATAGCTGATTTGTGAGGTGCCCCCGTGTAGAGAACACATGTTCTCCCTTTCTTGGTGTCAGAAGCTCACTCACATTAAGCACTCAATAGATACAGCAACAATCATACTAGGAATTCCTATGCTTGTGTGTGTGCTATTAAATAGAAATATTCTCAACCTTTCTCATTATATCCTAAAAAATCAAAATAATGATACCCCCTACTCTAAAAAATGATCTTCTTTCAGTTTTTCCAGGTGCAAATGGTTATTTTTATCATTCATGTGACTTTCCCTATTAGAATCCTTAAATGCCCTGGAAGACCAAGATTTAGATGCCCTCATGGCAGACCTGGTCGCAGACATAAGTGAAGCCGAGCAGAGGACGATCCAGGCACAGAAAGAGTCTTCTCAGAATCAGCATCACTCAGCATCTACGGAGGCATCAAACTTCAGTGGTGCAGCCTCTCTGGGTTATGGAGCAAATGTTACTGCAACCAGCGTTAGCCAATACGTGGATGATTTACCACCCCCACCAGCTGATCCTGTGTTAGACCTCCCACTGCCGCCGCCGCCGCCACCTCCTGAACCTCTCTCTCAGGTAAGTGTGTGGGGCCAGAGATGATGGCAGGACCACTGACCTCTGCTACCTTTCACCTTTGACTTTCTTTAACGTGATAACTGCATTCATAAGTTTGTACGCCCATAGCTCAGGGATATTAAAAAACAAGGACCCTGAGCATGTCCATTGCAAAGCCAGAGCCCTCCCTAAACGAGATTCATGGGTGTGTATAAAGAACATGCTAGGGCCATATTCATGATTTATTATAGTTTGGTTAAAAAGTATATTTGTATGCAAACACTCCCTGATAACACTCAACCTTCTGGGGAAATGTTTTATTAACATCTTATGAACTGTGGAACTGATTGACATATTTCCATGTCCCTTGTCCTAGCCCAGTACATAGAGAATAGAAGACGTTCATTGCACATTTTCTGAATTGAGCTAAAGTGCATTTTGTTGAATTCGGCAGCCCTGTGCAGTAGGATAAAGATATATCCAAGTATTACTTGTGACATCGTAGTTGGGGAAGAGGTGGTATAAGGTAGACAGGTGATGGGTGCCTGATATTGAGAAATTTCTGAATATTGGACAACAAACAACTGGAAAGTTCAAATTGTCGTTATTTGGGACATTAACTCATAACATGTCTCTTATAAAAGTAAAAAGAGCACTTGTAAGGATTTTTCTTAGAGTAAGCCACTAAAAACATTTTAGAGGAGAACCCAGTTCAATGTCCTGAAGATTCCGCGTTTATTGTATGTGATGATCACGATTCATAAATATGACCCTAGCAACCCTGACAGTTCCCACGATGTCTCCTGAATGAACAAATATTAAATTTGAATTGAATATTAAATCATACTCTATCACACTCATTGCTCCATTATGTATTTATTTTAGAAAAATTATTTGTCTTTTTCTTTTTTTTCACCCCCCCCATGGAAAAATTATTTGAAATTGGTGATTTATATAAAGCAGAGGCTCTTAATGTAGGGTCCATGAAGATTTTGCAGGGGCCACGAATCCCCCAAAAGTAAATGCAAAGTTGAATGCATACATGAAATTTCTTCCTCACTTGCCACACATCCTTACAGGGACTTGTGGCTCAAAAACAACTTAAGAATTGCTGAAGGCTGGGCGCGGTGGCTCATGCCTGTAATCCTAGCACTCTGGGAGGCCGAGGAGGGAGGATTGTTTGAGCTCAGGAGTTCGAGACCAGCCTGAGCAAGAGCGAGACCCCATCTCTACCAAAAATAGAAAGAAATTAATTGGACAGCTAAAAATATA